GAATATAGCAGTGGATGTGATGGAGGGGCGGCACCTGCTTTCTCTCTGAGGTTGAGCAAGGGAGAGTTATTCATGTTTTGTGAGAAGTGTTGGTAGCGGCTTGATAAACACCCTGTCTTTATCTTTATCTTGATTCTCTGACTCCTTTGATAGTTACCTAGGATTTAATCACAATGATCAGTCTTTTTTCCTGTAAAGATGTTGAAATTAGATCAAGCTGGTGGGAAAAAAATGAGTATTTTGCTTTGTAACTATGAGCCATTTTAGATACAAGACTAGTTGAAGTAGGGCTGGTCACGGTGGCTCATGCTTGTAATCCCAACACTTTGGGAGGCCGAGGTGGGTGGATTACGTGAGGTCAGGAGTTTGAGACCAGCCTGGCTAACATGGCACAACCCCATCTCTACTCGTAAACCCAAAAATTAGCCTGTTGTGGCAGCACGCGCCTGGAGTCCCAGCTACTCAGGAGGCTGAGGCGGGAGAATCGCTTTCCCCTGGGAGGCAGAGGTTGCAGTGAGCCAAGATCATGCCATTGCACTCCAGCCTGGATGACAAGAGTGAAACTCCGTCTCAAAAAAAAAAAAAAAAAAAAAAAACTATTTGAAATAAAAATCCAACTATATGCGTGCATAGGACTAATTTAGCTGGAAATTACCAAGCAGTTGGACAAACTATCATGGAAAAAATTAAGTTGATCTCAGTTCTACAGTATATGGCTTCTGTTTCAGCTGCTGCTGTTTTTTTAAAAAAATATTTTATTTGAGATAGGGTCTCACACCATCGCCCAGACTGGGGTGCAGTGGTGCAATCTTGGCTCACTGTAACCTCCACCTCCTGGGCTCAAGCAATCCTCCCAACCTCAGCTTCCTGAGGAGCTGCGACTACTGGTGTGCACCACCATGCCTGGCTAATGTTTGTATTTTTGGTACAGACAGGGTTTTACCATGTTGCCCAGGCTGGTCTGGGACTAAAGGTTCAAGCGATTCTCTTGCCTTGGCCTCCCAAAGTGCTGAAATGACATGTCCCACTGACGCAACTTCTTGATTTGAAGTTTTTGTAGCTCATGTGTCTGAAGGGCTCTCTGGAGACTTCCTTGCCGCTGGGGTACTGGTTGGAGAGCAGCTCTGCTGGGAGATGTGCTTCTTGAGGCATTTGAAGAATCCTGGCTATGCAGACCGACTTTCTATCCCTTGTCAGCTGAATGGCGAAAATAAGCAACTCTAGGGACATCATGCTGACTTTTCTTGGAACATAGAGCACAGATGCCATAGCTTAGCCACCTGCAGATGCAAGCAATTTAGATGCAAAGTGCATCACAACATGTGTGTTTGGCTCACTGCTTGGTGTTAGTAATGAGATCAAAATATTTTCTGGTAGGGTCCTCCATTCATCTTATTATTGAACATTTGTGTGCTAGAATTTGTAAAGTGTTTTTCAACAGTTATTTCTCTTTTGATAATGAAATGACAGCATTCGCAGAATTCAGGCTGTGAAAATGGATGCAGAAACCCCCAGAAGTTTATTAAGAGTCATCTAGGCATCCAGCCCTTGGCGCTTGTAATTTTAGTGCTCCTCAGGCAGTTAATGTGAAGGTCAGTCGAGGGTCCGGTCTCCTGATCCTATAGCTTTTGCTGTCCCCACCACCCCAGGCTTTCGCCTTTTGAGATATATTTATGGGCTGATTGAAAAACGTTTTAAAGAAGTCATGATTCTGAAAAGTTTAAAGGCACAAACCTATTGCTGAGCTCATAAAATGTTCCAGAAAGCTTTCACAACCTCATTCTGATTTAATCATCTGGGGAAAAGTGCTAGATACTTTCTTTGGTTACTTTGAATCACACTACCCTGTGTCGGCCCTAACATGGACAGAGATGGCAGGATCTACTCACCTCTATCATAGACTCTAAGGGCGATGAGTGGTCCTCCTTCGTAAACTTGGGACTAGGCCGGGCGTGGTAGCTCACGCTGGTAATCCTAGCACTTAGGGAGGCCAAGGCAGACAGATCACTTGAGGCCAGGAGTTCAAGACCAGCCTGGCCAACATAGTGAAACCCTGTCTCTACAAAAAATACAAAACTTAGCCAGGCATGGTGGCTCATGTCAGTAGTATCAGCTACTTGGGAGGCTGAGGTGGGGGAATCACTAGAACCTGGGACATTGAGGCTGCAGTGAGCCAAGATTGCACCACTGCACTCCAGCCTGGGTGTTAGAATGAGACCCTGTCTAAAGCAAAAAGCAAAAAAACAAAAAAAAAATTCGTGTAGAAAGGGAGTCCTTACAAAAGATATTGTGGAATGATTGATTATGAAACAGCTGATTTTGCAAGAAAGGGTAATGGAGACCTGGGCCAAACCTAGCATTCAAAAGAAACAGCCTCAAATGCAAAAAGTGTTGGTTGTCATATGGTTTAGGGATGAAAATACTGTAGTATTTTTATAATTTATATTTATAAAAATTATAATTTATAATTTATATTTTACTTTTATAAAAATACCACAGTATTTTTATCCTTCTATTCTTTAATCACAGATAGGCCCAAGAGATCCTAGAGTTTGTGCCCAAATCTCTGTAGGCCAAATTAGCTCCTGTTTAAACTGCGCAAGTAGTCAGGTGGGATGACATGAGATTAGGTGGTTACATTAGATGGTTCGCGCTGGGTGACTAGGATTTTCATTGATCTGCTTCTGTAGGTCCTGAAACCAGGGCTGGAGGAGTCCTTTCCATGATTTGCAATGTTGATTCGCTTAGGGGCTTTCGCCTTTCGCTCTTCCTTGTCCGTGGCTGTTTTTCATTTTCTGTGATTATGTGTCTGTGTTTACTTATCAATGCTGTTCCCTATCTCATTAGCTCAGTTGACTCTAGTGTCTCAGATATGGATATTCGGGGCCCAAGGGTACCGGGCTGGAGCATGTGAGAGGGTAGATGAGCTGAAATGGGTCACTCACCTGAAAAGCAATTCTGCAAGTAAGGTGTGTTTATCAGATGGGGTGGGGGTGGGGGCTTGTAATTCCTGCCCTTTGGATTTGCTTTCCTGTCCCCTCCTGTAAGGATTAGACCTTGTCCTGTTTGCCAGGATAGAAGAGGCATCTTCAGAAATTGAAGATGGAGAGGCGCAGCCATTCAAAGGCGTGGGGATTCACCACCCATTACTCCCTCCAGACTCGCCCTGATTTTTCATGTTCTGCTTCCCTTGAGTGCTCCAGGAGAAAATGTCTTCAGAGAGGCCGAGATTGCCTTAAGTTTTTTGGTGTTGATTTAGCAGATTAGATAATTGAGTTTCTAACTTTATGGATGCAAACTTTTCCCTGTGTCTCTAGAGAAATATCGTAGTTGAACATTTTGTATGTTTTTGGCTAGGTAGTAGTCACTGATTATCAAAATTCTGTTATAGGCCAGATGCAGTGGCTCGTGCCTGTAATCCCAGCACTTTGGGAGGCCAAGACAGGTGGAGCTTGAGCTCAGAAGTTCGAGACCAGCCTGGGCAACATAGCAAAACCCTGTTTCTACAAACAGACAGACACACACACACACACACACACACACACACACACCCACCCACCCACCAGCCAGGTGTGATGGCACACACCTTTCGTCTCAGCTACTCAGGAGGCTGAGGTGGGAGGATTCTTTGAGCCCAGGAGGCAGAGATTGTAATGAGCCAATATCGCACCACTGCACTCCAGCCTCGACAACAGAGCCAGACCCTGTCTCCAAAAAAAATTCTTGTTACGAAATTCTTACATGCTCTCTATTTTCCTTGTTCTAGTCACTAAGTATTGGTAGTAATCATTTATGTACCAATCAGAAAATAGTAGTGTCTAACCAGATGAAGGAAAGAAAGTTGGTTGATAACTTCTGACAATTACTGGCACTTCATAGAGGAAGACAGGATATTTTGAAAAATGTCTAGATTGGCATATATTTGTGATTTTACTTACATTAGCAAGCATTAATCTTTTAAAAAGTCTACTTGAGTTCATATATAGCCTAAAAGAACCTAATGGAGAATTTACTTCAGTCAATCCTGTGACTTACAGAAGAGAATTAGTCATGAGTTGAAGTTTTTTTTTTCTTAAATTATCATAACGAAGGAATTGGCAAGTTTTGTGGCACGTTATTTCAAGGATGTGAACATCTTATACTATTTGCATGTTTGCCTTTTTATGTCCTAAAAGGACATTAACAATTCTGCCTTTCTGAGATTGAGGTTGAGTATGGTTTCCCCAGAAAACCAAGAGTAAAACCCACGTTACGACGTCAGTTTCGAGCAGTCAGCATCTCAAGTGGGCTCTGTGCTGTCATGCATGTGACTGAGATGGTAGGAGCTAAAGTCCTGCCGTAGGGAGCTGCTGTCAGACCAGCGAGCCGCGCAGGGCAACTTTCCCTAATTCACAAGCAGTCCACTCAGCTGTAACACCTGAGATCAGGAGTTTGAGACCAGCCTAGCCAACATGACAAAAACCCATCTCTACTAAAAATACAAAAGTTAGCCAGGTGTGGTGGCACATACCTGTAGTCCCAGCTTCTCTGGAGGCTGAGGCAGGAGAATCGCTTGAACCTGGGAGGCGGAGGTGGCGGTGACCCGAGATCGCGCCACCGCACTCCAGCTTGGGCGACCAAACAAACAAACAACAAGTGGGCCAGGCATGCAGTGGCTCACGCCTGTAATCCCAACACTTTGGGAGGCCAAGGTGGGCAGATCACCTGAGGTTGGGAGTTAGAGACCAGCCTGACCAACATGGAGAAACCCCATCTCTACTAAAAAATACTAAGTTAGCCAGGTGTGGTGGCACGTGCCTGTAGTCCCAGCTACTTGGGAGGCTGAGGCAGGAGAATCACTTGAACCTGGGAGGCTGAGTTTGCAGTGAGCCGAGACTGCACCACTGCACTCCAGCCTGGTGACAGAACAAGACTCTGTCTCAAAAAAAGAAGAAAAAGGGGTAAATCTAGCACTATTCATATCTTCTCTCTCTGAAGCTTCCTCTCTGCTCATTTTTCAGAAATGTCAAAATAAAAACTGGAGACTGGTTCTATGAGGAACGAGCCAAGAAATTTCCAACTGGAGGTAAATGCTCTTCTCTTTTTTACTTAAGTAAAATGATATATTCCTAGTTTTAAAATATGTGATGTTAAGACTTTTGAATATAAGCAACATGGTGGGTTTAGTCCGTGGACCCCCCGTCTTGCTGTTCCGTTTGCTGGTGCTCTGCACTTAACTCTCACCACTCATTTCCTCTGCCGGCGACTCTTCCCTCTGCCACGTTTCCCCCTCGAAGGTTGGCCCCATCCTTTAAGGCTCCTGTACCACCAGGTTTCCCTGGCTTCCTGCTTCTAGGTGTCATGTTCCCTCCTCTGAAACACCATCAGTGCCGGGTTTGTAATCCTCTTCTGTAATTGTTGCAAAGTGCCTTGTATTGTAGCATTATTTGTGCACTTCTGTTGCTCTCTACAAACAGTGACTGTGATTTTAAAATCTTGTCAGCTCCCTTAGCACCAAAGCACAATACCTTGTTTATGATACTTGAGCAAAATTATTGAATAACTGAAGACCACAGTGAGCGAGCAGCGTTTGAACTGAGCAGATGTTGATGGTTGCGGAGTGGGCGCACGTTGTGATTCTGTGAGTGGAAACGTGCATTTTGTCTGTGTACTATGAATGTCTCATAACGAGATGTTGACCCTGCAGAACGAATCTAGGTGGGCCGAGGCTGAGATCTGCAGCCCAGGAAACACTTCCAAGTGCTCTGGGAAACAAAGGAGAGGCTTGAGGTTTTTTTTCTTTTTCTTTTTTTTTTTTGAGAGAAAAAAAGAAAAGAATGAAAGTAAGAAAGAGGAAGAGAAAGAGGGAGAGAGAACAGGAGTCTTATTTTATTGCCCAGGCTAGAATGCAGTCTAAAAATGGGTATTGAAAACCTCTTTTATGCCAATAATTGTGCTTAATAATGGAAACAGGAAGGAATAAGGAAGGAAAATAACAAACAAGCAGCCAACCAATATTTCATTTAAACCTGTGAAATGCTATGCAATTACTGAGGTGTGATTTACTTCCAATTATGTAGTCACTTTTAGAGTAGGTGTGATGTACCTTTTGGTATATTTTTGGAATGGTTGATACTGGTTGTTCCTTTCTATGTGTAGTGCTTCTTTCAGAAGCTCTTGTAAAGCAGGCCTGGAGGTGATGAAATCTCTGAGTGCTTGCTTGTTCACAAAAGATTCTATTTTTCCTTCACTTATGAAGCTTAGTATGGCTGGATATGAAATTCTGGGCTGAAAGTTCTTTTCTTTGAGGATGTTGAATATTGGCCCCCACTCTCTTCTGGTTTGTAGGGTTTCTGCTGAGAGATCTGCTGTGAGTCTAATAGGCTTCCCTTTGTGGGTAACCCGACCTTTCTCTCTGGCTGCCCTTAGCATTTTCTCCTTCCTTTCAACCCTGGTGAATCTGACAATTATGTGCTTTGGGGTTGCTCTTCTTGAGGAATATCTTTGTGGTGTTCTCTGTATTACCTGGAGTTGAATATTGTCCTGCGTTGTTAGGTTGGGAAAGTTTTCCTGAATAATATCCTGAAGAATATTTTCCAAATTGGATTCATTCTCTTCGTCACATTCAGGTACACCTATCAAACGTAGATTAGGTCTTTTCACATAGTCCCATATTTCTTGTATACTATGCTCATTCCTTTTACACTTTTTTCTCTAATCTTCTCTAATCTAAATCTCTCGTTTTATTTCATTGAGTTGGTCTTTGACCTCTGATATCCTTTCTTCTGCTTGATCAATTCGGATGTTAAAACTTGTGCATACTTCAAGAAGTTCTCATATTGTGTTTTTCAGCTCCATTAATTCACTTGTATTCCTCTCTAAATTGTCTATTCTCGTTAGCATTTCATCAAACCTTTTTTCAAGGTTCTGAGTTTCTTTACATTGGGTTAGAACATGTTCTTTTAGCTCATTGAAATTTCTTATTATCCACCTTCTGAAGCCCGATTCTGACAATTCATCACACTCATTCTCCATTAGGCCTTGTTCCCTTGCTGACGAGGAGCTGTGATCCCCTGACGGAGGAGAGGCATTCTGGTTTCAGATGTTTTCAGCCTTTTTGTGCTGGTTTCTTCCCATCTTTGTGGATTTATCCACCTGTTGTCTTTGTATTTGCTGACTTTCAGATTAGGTCTCTGAGTGGACATCCAGCTTGTTGGTGATGATGTTATTTCTGTTTCTTTGTTTTCCTTGGGCAGATGCCCCTCCCCCACAGAGCTGGACCTTCCTGGGTTCAGCTGTGCTTGCTGTGAAACTCTCAACCGTCAGCATTTCCAATTGCTGTTTTTTTTTTGTGGGAGTGGGACTAGCCGAGCCCGATCACCTGGCTCCCTGCCTTGGAACCCCCTTTTTGTCTTTTCCTAATTGAATGGTCAATTCTCTCCCAGGTGCCCTAGACACCTGCCGAAAAGGCGCTGGGATCTATGCAATTTCCCATGAAGCAACCGCGCCAGCTGAAACAGCGGCGCTGAAATTCGTGGCGCTTTTCTGCCCGGGAATCTCCCGGTCTGGCTCCCGGCTTCAGTCCCCCTTTCAATCAGCTGAATGGGCGACTCTGCCTTCCCGGAGCTCCAAACACCAACCAAAAGGGCACTCAGTCCCGCATACTCCGCACTGAGAACCGCCACGCTGGGACACCGGCAAAACAGCCGTGCCAGCCAAAAGAGTTGCGCCGGCGACCCATGGGGCCCCTCCGCTGGGAATCTCCTGGTCCGTAGGCAACAAAAATTCGTCTGGAAGTCTGGCGTCCACTCACTCCCTGCACCTTCACTGGGAGCTACAATCCTGAGCTGCTGCTAGTTGGTGGTCTTGGATCTCTCTCCCTTGTTATTCTTTTTTTTTTTTTTTTTTTTAAATAAGGATGAATCAGGAGAGAGGCAATTACAGAACCTGGTTTTCAGGAATTCTCATTGGTTTACAGAAATACCATTGATTCGGGCTGGGTGCAGTGGCTCACGCCTGTAATCCCAACATTTTGGGAGGCCAAGGCTGTTGGATCATGAGGCCAGGAGTTTAAGACCAGTCTGGCCAACATGGTGAAACCCTTGTCTCTACTAAAAATACAAACATTAGCTGGGCGTGGTGGCGGGTGCCTGTAGTCCCAGCTACTTGGGATGCTGAAGCAGGAGAATCACTTGAACCTGGGAGGTGGAGATTGCAGTGAGCCAAGATCATGCCATTGTACTCCAGCCTGGGCAATAATGGGAGACTCCATCTCAAAACAAACAACAACAACAAAGAAATACCATTGATTCATGATTGGCTACCTGTTGCTGAGCTACAGGCTGTGAGTTACAGTGTCCAGTGTATGGCATTGTTAGGATAATTTATGGCCATTGGTGGTGACACTGAATCTAGAGTCCATACAGCAGGTGGCTTTGAAATGATTAGTTAGTCCAAGTTGGGGGAGGTGATTGCAGTCTCATTTCAGTGTCTCTCTAGACTTGATCATTTAAAGGGAGCTTGTAATTCTTAGATTAAAAGTTTATTTTCTTTTTCAAAAGTATTTGCAAGGGATGGCATGCCAGTGTAATTGGTAGCTAGGACCTGGAACTGTGGAGAGGATGACTTGTGCTTTGATCACAGAGGTGCCGGGACAAGGCATCGTGACAGAGGCACACACAGTGCGGGCTGGTGCCATGGGAAACACATCCAACCGTATTGGGAGTGTGGGCAGCACCCCTCCTCTGTGACGTGATGATGGGGACCTGGACTCACAGCCTGACTTAGAGGGCAGTGGTGGCTCTTTTCTAGAAAAAGCGGCGATATGCAGGTAGAGAAATAAGCCATATGACCTCACCCAAAAATGTTGGCAGTAAAGGCAGCCATTTATTTGAATTGATATTCAGCTTTTATAAAGGGTAGCTTCGCCCAGGTATAGATTTGTTTGGTGCTAAATTCTCCCATGGCTTATATTCCTGGCTGTTCTTACTCAAGAAAAAAATGCTGCTTCTGCCAAGTTTATTGGAAAGCTGGAGGAAAACTTTATACTAAGGTGCGTGCCAGGCAGTGGAATGAAACAGACGTGTCCGTCTTCTCTAAGCCAGTGTTTCTCAACACCTTCCTGCCATCACCCTCTCCTCTACCCCACACAGCCTTTTTAGACACTTTTTCAAAATCGCTACCGTAACATTTTGATATCGCAGATATCATATATCTGTGTATGTACTGAGGCCTTTTGGAGAGCCACGAACTGTTGAAGTAGTGAAGATTTGCTGCCAATCTTTGTGCCTTTAGGGGTGCCATCATCCCATGTGGGATGCGTGACCTTGGCGAAGCAGCTGCAAGTGCAGGACGCTTCTCTGTTTTTATTGCTTTTATATTTCTCTCTCTGTCTCTCTCTCTCTCTTTTTCGACATGGAGTCTCGCTCTGTCATCCAGGCTGGAGTGCAGTGGCATGATCTCGGCTCACTGCAACCTCTACCTCCTGGATTCAAGCGATTCTCCTGCCTCAGCCTCATGCCACCACATCAGGCCAATTTTTGTATTTTTAGTAGAGATGGGGTTTCACCTTGTTGGCTGGTCTCAAACTCCTGACCTTAAGTGATCTGCCCGCCTTGGCTTTCCAAAGTGCTGGGATTAAAGGTGTGAGCCACTTCACCTGGCCACTTTTGTTTCTTTAAAATGCTTTTTTGTTGTTGTTGGAGGGCTGGAGCCTTCTTCAAAAGGTTGATTCTACCGTTTTCCGTAACAATTCCTAGCTGATAAACAGCAGTGCTGTAGGAGGTAAAGTTTGTCATTTCTTAATGCCAATTCAGTGTGGACATGAAAATGTTTTCTACGTCCTTGGAAGTTCTAGCATCATTATTTCAGGTAAATTAAGTCTTCATGTGTGTCCATGCATGTGTGCATGAATGTGTGTGTGTGTGTGCGCAAACACATTACCATCTTGTCATCTTTTCAGCACTTTATCTCACCTGAGTGAGTTGGAGAAGCATGTTATCACAGTGACTTAAGATTAAAAAGGGAAATAGATCAGTCGCTTCCCTTTTTATAGGCTCACACCTGTAATCCCAGTACTTTGGGAGG